CAGCAGGCATACAGACTTACATTAGTGCAAGAGTTCTTTGGAGAACCCCTGGGAGAGCTGGAGCCTTATTATGTCAGTTGTAGCTCAACACAAATTCAAATTATACTAACAAAACCTACTCCACTTCAGTGTATTTTTAAAAATTAATAAATGAATAAATAAATCACAAGGCTTTTGTCTCTCTCTCACTCCCTTTCAACAAACATTTAACAAATGACAAATTCAGGGGTAAATTAAAAATTCTGCCTTTCAGGAGAGTACAGAAAAACAAATCTATTGTTGTAACACTTTAAAATAAACAGATTAATACTCCTGTCTTACATCATACTCTGTTATTTCAGGTAAATTGGTTTCATCAGCCTTCTCTGACTTTTCAGCTGCCCACTTGCTTGCAGCTTCCGCAAGTTCCTTTTCCGTTAGTCTGTTGCTCTTATCCAAGGCCTGTACAAAAACATTATTCAAAGTTTAACATGAAGTGTATTTCCACAGGGCAAAACATCTTCAAAATGAAAATAAACAGTTATTCAGATCCCTGAAACATTTTAAAATAGGGAATAAGGAAGCTCAAGCTATTTCATTTGCTGACTTATTTCTTTAAAAAGAAAAGTGGGTGGGGACAGAGCAGAGAAAAATGAAAAAAAGAGAAGAGGGAAACAAGATAAATCAATGAAGTTCAGTAAAATCTTAAAAGAAGCACCATACTGTCAGAACCAGTTTTATTAAATTCACAGGACAGAAATAACATAAAAGTTATTTGAGACCATTTGAGATTAAAGAGACTTGGATCAAATGAGCACCAAGAAGTCAGATACAAATGTGGAGTGATCCAATAATTCAATGTGACTTTCAGGCATAAAAGGTTGTAACAAATTTAAACTAAACTATTAAATACTGTGTAGGGTATATAACCTAAGCTAATTAGGAACAAAAAGATTTTATACATACTTTAAATGATCAGAGCTGCTACCATTAAAATTCATTATTTTTTATTGGGGGGGAACACTGACCATTTATAATAGAGTCAGCCATGGCTTTATGGGCTTTTAATCTACCTTTTCATATGGAAATATTCATATAAATAATATTTTAAAATTGATTTCTCTCTAATACGATTTGGCTTTTACTAACAGAGCAACAAACAGACAATGACAAACACCCACGCACCAAAACCAGTTTAGGAATTGCTAGCTTTGTAAATCTTGTTACCCTATGTGGGTATTTCATTTAAATCAACTGTGCGTATAGAAGCATCCATCCAAGAATCTATACAACTCTAGTATTAAAAACTGCAACACTAAGATGGATATCTAAAAAAAGATACAAAAATCCTACTGCTTGAAAAAGGCATTCTACCCCATTTCTACCCAATGCTTGTGTCATCTTAGCATGCAGATGGACAAAAAAAAGCAAATAAAAAAAAAACAAATAAAAAAACCCAACACTCCCGCCCTTATCATTAGACCATTCAAAATGACATAAACGACCAGAAGAAGCAAATACTCTGACCCTTAATAAAACTGCTTCATCTTCAGACCTTTTGCGCTTACCTCAAGTAAAACTAAACACCTCTTTGTGCTGTAGTATGGCATAAGTATATGGTTCACAGAACCCTTCCAGGATTCTGTCTCATAAAGACACCACCTTTATCTCAATCCAGAAGTACAACACAGAGTTCAAATAGGAATCCCTCTTTTGTATAATTGTAAATTACAGAATTATAATCAGTGAAGTCAGGAGGTGACAAAGTTTGATATGCAGGGGTACGAAGAAGATTCTTAAAAGAAAGAGCTAATATAATTCATGAAATAATTAGCCCAGCTCACCTTTCCAAACTCCATGATTATTCTTACACTAGTCTCACTACAAACTATTGTCTGCAAGTTTTTTGCCCCATGTTCTTATTCCACATAGTATGCCTGACTTTTCCCTTTAACCTGACTTTTCCCCAGCTGCCAAAAAATCTTCTATTGTGGTTCTATTACGAATCTCTCCCTGTCTTCCAATGTAGCTCTGGCAAATACCAGTCTATTTGCGATGACTTTGCATGGATATTTTTCAGAAGCCAGAAACTAACCACTCTAGTATCTACCGGAATACAGCAAAAACAATTCGTTTAATTTAATCTTACTAAATGTAATTCTATAGTAGCATGTCAGTAAATATGTATTAAAAAAATACTGAGTGCATTTTATGTAATAAAGTAACGGTACTTGCCCCAGTACACTACAACTGAAGAGAAAGAACAGGAACATATTTCTCAGAGGAAAATGTCTGCAGCTACTTAGGCTGCAAACTTGCAAGAAATGAACAACCTAGTGTATCTCTTAAAAAACAACCAAACTTTCCTCCCTGCCTCAAAACAGAGGCGTCTTCTTTTCTTGTTTTAACCTTATGCATAAGATAAGAACAGCAAAAGTCTGTTAGTTTTCTGCTTTGCTGGGAAGCTTTCCATCTCACACATCTGCCTTTTGCTCTAATTATGTTGGATACAGCCTCCAAGGCTTGCAGTCCAGACAGCTATTAAAGAAAAACACAAAAGACTTCGTGCCATAGTCAATTAAACAGGTGGTTAAGATCAGATAACACCAACATGTATTAATTCACATGCATGAATATGTAAAAAAATAATTATAAGACAGATAAGAATACCCTTCCAGATTTGCATATAGTTACTACAGTGAAAAGAGATATTGCTGCGGAAGCATATACCTTTCTAAGTATTTCAAAGCTAAATTATAACTTAGAGCGGTTAAAATTATCTCCTTTAATCTATAAAGCATATAACTCATTTCTCAAGTCTAAGTAGATTTTAAGACCCTGGCCTTACAATGTTCATCATGTTTTGCCAAGACTTTTTCTGTTGCTATTTCTATGTTGGTGAAGCACTTCTGTAACTTAACTGGTCAGTGTAAATCCAACCATCATGCCAAGAGTCTCCACTGACGCAAGATGGTACATTACAAGCACAGGACTTCACGAGAAAAAACAATAAAAGGTCACCAAAGTAATTCAATTTCTGCAGCTGATGCATACCCAATAAATATACGTATTGTCTGGGGAAATGCCATGAAACAGAAAGTTTCATTTTGTATAGCTTACATCACGTGGATATCCACTGCCAGCAGATATATGCAAACAAAAACCCGCACAATATAGCATAGGTCAAACCTGACTGAAGAAGAAAGCAAAACATTTAAAGAACACTTTATAGTTCAAGCTCACACTGCATCTTAATACGAGAGCAAGAGATTTTTCAATGCCTCCTTATTCTCAAAGAGTTGTATTAAGCAAGGATTTGGTATTAAGCTGTAGTATGCTGAACCTGTAAGAAAAATAGGTGAGCTAACTATAAAGTTTATTTTATAATCCAAATCAGTGTAACTTGTACGTAACAGCTTTTATCTTACTTTCCTTATTTACATGGCTGAAAACGTATCGCTTGCCTCCCCCCTTAAGGACATTGGCAATCAGCTAATGCCAAGCACAGCAGTTCTAAAAGAGCTGCATAAGGGATAAGTACTTAGAATGACATAGCACAACTAAAACCTGATTTTTTTCTCCACCTAATTATTTCCTTCAATCTCACGTTCTCACAACAAAAAGTACCTTTATTTCTTCCATATTTTTTTTGTTGTTTAAGCATTCCATTGCTTTTATTAAAAAGACGTCAAGAACCAGGCTAGTACACCATGCTACTTAGGGAGAATGCTACTTTTTAATAGGACCTTATTCACTTAGAACAATATAATGCATTGTTTCTTTATTTCTCATTAAAGTATTTCTCAACAATTTAGAGAAAATACTCCTGTGGAAGTGTTCATTTTAACCTCAGATATAATTCACAGGCAAGCAGTCTGCGATGTGAAAATGTTTTTGCTGCCACAGGACAGACAGAACAATATTGAATGTGTATTGTTCATTACCATTTATTAGCTTGTCCGTTTAACTAATTAGCAAGATTATGTAGCTGGCGCTCCACCCACAAGATTTTTTTGGACGGGAAATTAAACAGCGCCATTTAGAACATAAAACGGCATTTACCAAATGGTCTTGCAATGTGGCTCCCTCCCCAAGTAAACACTATCATTTTTGCCACATCCTCGAGCAGCCCTGCTTCCAAATCAACTCTGCTATTCACATTATCTTCCCAACCAGCCAGACACTTCACCACAGTTTCCAAATCCGCTCACAGCTTAGGAATCACTAAAGGATGGAGTTCAGTGCAAGTCAGGCTTCTCCAATTGATCTGTTGCTCCTAAAAACTGCTTCCCCATTTTTCTCCTTGCTGTTCCTTTTCCAGCACACTCCATACTTTGGAAAATGACAATTTTAAATACATACAAAACTCCCTTTCTCCTAAAATGAGACAGTGAATACAGAATCAAAAGGTTTGTTGGTGTCATCATCAGATACACAGCATCACCTGCACCTTCCTGCCAGGTAAGAGAAACCTATCCTCTGCTGGAATGCAGAGCAATTCAAGATGTGCCTTTCCTTAACAGCTCCGTACAGTATCTCCTTCCAACCAAGGAAAAAATCCAACAACAACGAGCAATCTGAAACCATGGTGAGAAGTATTCGACAATTCACCTTTGATGACGGTACTGCTGTGGAGCCTGAAGGTGATGCATCTCTTGATGTTTTCAGTGACTGAACTGACGTCCTCTCTTTACCTACAATTAAGAAAAAATTAACGAATGCAAAATTATATTAAAAATACAGGTTGCAAATACACTTATTGGCTTAGAAAAACTGCAATGAAATTCACTCAAGTCAGACATGAAATCTACATGCTCCACCATCTGATAAATATTGATAACCCTTTCTTCTCTTTACATAGAGAGAAGAGATACAGCTATATTATTTCACATATTGAGGAAAACCCATTGTCCTTTTATTTTCAACATTCTCTGAAAGGGCGTATCAATATGATTTGGCAAGACAATGCGGTTTTACTTTTTAATATTCCTGTAATAATATAAACAGGTGAAATATTAGACACCAGTCAATCACTCCAGGAAACCAGGCAGCGAAGGAACTGGTTTAGCAGGCCACAGTATGTTGAAAAGCCCTGCCATGGGAAACACTCCCGTTTTGTATCAACCACGGGCTAGATGCTCTTTGTATTATCCCATGTTTTTCTTTTAAGAGTTAAAATCAGCAAAGTGTCAATTCAAATTCATGGTGCTAATCACAGCTGCTAATCACAGCCTGTGCATAGTGTTGCCACAGACCAGTTCCAGGCAGCCAGCAGCAGCAGAACCGGTTGCAGTGTAAACCACTAGTTTTCAACCTGTGGTCCATGGATTACATCTAAGGGATCTGCAGAAGGTAAATACGAAAAGCAAATGTGTTGTCAGTAGGTCTAAATTAACTCAACTATTCTCACTCACTGGGAAGTGGTTGACTGTTCACAAATGGAAAACAATATAGACTTACCCTGGTTTCCATTACATTTGTATCAATACAACTAAGAAATGGATGAATTAAAAAGTCTATTGAATACTTATGAAAATTGGGATATAAATTAGTTTAGTAGAACCACAAACAAATACAGCTTTAATTTAATGAGTCGAAGCAATAAAGAGCAAACATGGCATCTCGCTCCTAATAACTGAGCTATGTTTTTTTACTCAATGCCATGAAATAAGACTGCATTGTACTGTGTATTTTAAAATACCACTACCTACACAACAAATGTAAGGAAAAGTCTATGCAAAATGCATACTTTTAACAATAGGAAGTGTATA